AATACACTTGTAGCCAGACTGACAACAAAAGAGAAGATGAAATGGGGAACATTACTAAAGACCCTACAGATATAAAAAGGATAATAACAAAGTAATACCAACAACTTTATGTCCACAATTTAGAGTAAACAAATTCCCTGAAATACACAAACAACAAAAGCCACACAAACTACAAAAGCCACTCAAGAATAAATAACCTGAACAGTGTTATATCTACCAAAGAAACTGAATACATACATTTTAAAACTTAGTGGGAAAAACAAAAACAAAAAACTCCAACCCCATGTGGCTTCACTGGGAAATTCTACCAAACATTTAAGGAAGAAATAAAACCAATTATACACAAACTTCTCCAATGGAATAAAAGAAGAAACACTTCCAAACTCATTGTACAAGGTCAGTATTACTCTTATACAAAACACACATACACAAAAAGATATTAAAACTATAGATCAATATCCCATATGAACACAGACACAAAAAAATTCTCAACAATACATTATCAAATCAATCCCAGCAATGTTTAAAAAGGATAATACACCATGACCAAGTCGGGTTTCTTCCCAAAAATGCCAGGTTGGTTTCATGGTCAAAAATCAACCAGCATAATTCACATTATCAATAGATAAAGAAGAAACACCATACAATCATCTAACTAAATGCCATAAAAACATTTGACAACATTCAACATCCATTCATGATTTTAAAAACCTCAGCAAATAGGAACAGCAGGGAACTTCTTCAAGATGATAAAGGGCATCTACAAAAAATTAAAAAAACACCTATGGCTAACATTATGCTTAATGGTGAAAAACTAAATGCTCTTCCCCTAATATCAGGAACCAGGCAAGAATGCCACTCTCACCACTCCCATTTAACTCTGTATTTAGTGAAGGTTCTGGGCAATGTGATAAGGCAAGAAAAAGAAATAAAAGAACTATACAAATAAAACTGTTCTCTATATAGAGAAATAAAACATCTCTGTTCACTGAAGACATGATTAGTTACAAAGAAATTCCCAAAGAATCTATTAAAATCCATTTAAAAGTGACTAGAATTAACTAGTAAATTTATGATAATCTCAGGCCACAAGGTCAATATAAAAATCAACTGCATAGTGCACAACAATGTAAATGTTATTATTTTATGTTATGTACTTTTTTTTTTTTTTTGGCGGTACGCGGGCCTCTCACTGTTGTGGGCTCTCCCGTTGCGGAGCGCAGGCTCAGCGGCCATGGCTCACAGGCCCAGCCGCTCCGCAGCATGTGGGATCCTTCCGGACCAGGGCACGAACCCGTGTCCCCTGCATCGGCAGGTGGACTCTCAACCACTGCGCCACCAGTACAGTACCACTTTTAATAGCATCAAAAAATATGAAATAGGTACAGATCCATCAAAATATGTGTAAGGTCTGTAAAAACTAGAAACATCAATGAACAAAATTAAAGAACTAAATAAAGGAAGAGATATGCTATGTTCATGGACTGGAAGATATCAATTTTCCCTAAACTTACTGATAGACTTAATATAATCCTAATCAAAATCCCAGTAAGATATTTTGTAGAAATCAGGAAACTGATTCTATAATTTATATAGAAAATAAAACTAGAATAGCCAAACAATTTTGAAGGGGAACAAAGTTGGAGGACTCACACAGCTTGATTAACGAGACCATAAAGACCATGATTTCAATTCCATAAAGCCATAATTATGAACACAGTGTGGTAATAGCAAAAGGATGGACACACAGATCAACAACAGAGTCTAGAAATATACCCACATTTGGTCAGTTGATTTCATATATGGTCAATTGCTTTCAACAAAGGTGCAAAGTCAATTAAATAGAGAAAGACTAGTCTTTTCAAGGAATGGTGCTAGAATTTTTGGATATCCATATGGAAAGAAATGAATCTCAACCACTACCTCACAGCATATAGAATTTAACTCAAAATGGATTATAGATTTAAAAGTATAGTAAAGTAAAACTATAATACATTTAGAAGAAAACAAGAGAAAATCTTTGTGATCTTGGATTAGGCAACACTTTGTAAATAAAATACCAAACACATGAACCATAAAAGATGAAAGTGATAAACTGGACTACTTCAAGATGTAACAACATCAGTTCTTCAAAAGATACTGTTAAGTCACTGAAAAGACAGAGAGAAAATATTTGCAAACACATAGGTTATAAAAGTCCTATGTCCAAAATATACAGAATATACAAAAAACTCTCAACATTCAAAAATGAGAAAACAAAAAAAATTTGATGGCCAGACTGAACAATTAAAGAAGATATATGAATGACAAATAAGCACATGAAAAGGTGCTCAACATGGTTTATCATTAGAGAAAAGTAAAATAAAACCACAATGAGATACTAATACATACCTATTAGAATAGCTAAAAATAATAAAGAATCTCTCAATACCAAGTACTGGTCATGATGGAAGGCAACTATTTGAAAAAGTCTGGGGAGTTCTTCCAAAGTTTACTTACCATTTGATCCAGCAATCCCACTTCTAGATAGTTACCCAAGAGAAATAAAAATTTATGATCCCACAGAATCCTAATGCAAATATTTATAGCAGCTTTATTCAGAATCTCCAAAACTAAAAACCAATCCACTGGTGAATGGATAAACTGTTAGAGCCACACAATGGAATACCATACAGCAGTAAAAAGGAGTGAATTACTAAATACATGAATAAATCTCAAATGCATTGTGCTACATGAAAGAAGCCAGTACTCCTTACTGTATGAACAGAAAACAGATCAGTCGTTACCAGAGGCTGGTGGTAGCATGCAGGGTAACTATAAAATGGTAAAAGGGAATTTTCTGGGATGACAGAATTCTTCTATATCTTACTTGTGCTGGTGCTTACTAGATTGTATGCACTGTCAAAACTCAAAGAAGCATACACAAAAGTGGGTGAATTTTACTCTATATAATAATACCTCAATAAACCTGACCAAAAAATCCTATCGATTAATTTACAATGATTTTATTCATATAAGCTAGGTCAGAGTTTCTCAAAGTATAGAACCAGCATTTCCAAAATCACCTTTAACACGGAGTACTTTATTAAAACCATAAAAATGGTTTCCACCTCAAACCAACTGAATTTCAGTCCTGTGAGCAGGGCTTGGAATCTTCATTTTTATAAAGCACGCTATGTGACCCTGAAACACACTGAAGTTTGAAAACCTCTCTGCGAGAGTATAAACCTTTTATTTTATTAAATGGGAACTGAAGTGTTCTGACAATTGAAAGATAGGTTGGAGGTACAATCAAATTACATAGTAAAGGCTGACAGTAAAATCATATATTAAGATAAATGTTATTTATCTAATAATATATATTAAATACCATCATCTTCAAACATATTTCTTCTACAGAAAAAGTCGTACATGGGTATCTCACTCTTTACACACAAAAGCACACAAAGAGGGGCTTCCCTGGTGGCACAGTGGTTGAGAGTCCGCCTGCCGATGCAGTGGACACGGGTTCGTGCCCCGGTCTGGGAAGATCCCACATGCCGCGGAGCGGCTAGGCCCGTGAGCCATGGCCGCTGAGCCTGCGCGTCCGGAGCCTGTGCTCCGCAACGGGAGAGGCCACAACAGTGAGAGGCCCGCGTACCGCAAATAAAAAAGAAAAAAAAAAAGCACACAAAGATAGATGAAATAATTAAATATAAGCATATAAAATCATAAAAATCCAGAAGAAAAGCAGAAATATTTGTTTTATAATGATACAGCCATAGGGAAGGCTTTCTATAGACCAAAATCTAGAAACCATAAGGGGAAAAACAATCCTAAAAATGACCACTTTAAAGTTAAACACAAAAAATAAAAACTGAAGACAATATAAAAATCCATCTTTACAATATATATAATAAAAAGTGAGTTTTCTTAAATTTACAAAGCTATCTTACAATCATTTAGACCAACAAATCAATTAAATCTATGTGCCAAGGAGTTTCTCAGAAAACAAAACAGAAATGACTATAACCTCTTTCTTTAGCTTCTCTTTCTCGCACTCTCCAAGCCCACTCTTTAACCCATCTGAGTAGTAAAAAGCAATTTCCTACACCCACTTCCCCATCACCGTAAGTCTCAAGTGTGTCTGTGTATATTACACCAAGACGTCCATAAAGGAGAATTCAGAGTTGTTGTTTTGTTTTGTTTTAACTTACAGCAATAAATTGCATTCAATTTCTAAATAGGCAGTTATATTAATTAATTTTTGGACTTAGGAGGATCCATATTCATTCTTACTGATTCATTCCTTAATTCTAATCTTATTAATATATTTTCTACTTTCGTTTCAACCATGTAATTAATTGCAATGGCAAATCCTGGAGAAGGATAACTCTTACAGAGGAGACATAGTGTATATAATGCTAGGGTCTGTGATGAATTTGTTTCACTGAGATTCTCAAAATGGAAAAATCCCAAGAAACAGAGCTCTACCTGTAGATCTAGTTATTTCAGCAAACCTGTAGATTAGTTCAATACTGGACAATTTAAAAAGATGACATGGGGCTTCCCTGGTGGCACAGTGGTTAAGAATCCGCCTGCCAATGCGGGGGACACGGGTTCAAGCCCTGGTCCGGGAAGATCCCACATGCCACGGAGCAACTAAGCCTGTGCACCACAACTACTGAGCCTGCGCTCTAGAGCTCGCAAGTCACAACTACTGAGCCCAAGTGCTGCAACTACTGAAGCCCGCATGCCTAGAGCCCGTGCTCCGCAACAAGAGAAGCCACCACAATGGGGAGCCCGCGCACCACAACGAAGAGGAGCCCCTGCTCAATGCAACTAGAGAAAGCCTGCGAGCATCAACGAAGACCCAACACAGCCAAAAGTAAAAAATAAATAAATAAATAAATTCATTAAAAAAATCAAAAGACGACATGATGCTAGGGAAATGTTTCATTTTACTAAATTCCATTCACAACCCTTTCCCCGAAACAACGTTATCACTTGATTTTGCTCACCTCCTCTCCTGAAAGGTAATATGCTGCAAGTAGGCCTCCAATAAATCGAATGTTGACTTCAAACACAGACACCTCTGAATTCTGTGAAAACATATTGAAAATGTTCACATATACATAAAGCTGTAAAGGTTTCAAAATATCTTCAATCCTTCATATGTTTCTCATAAACATGCTGGGGAGAATGTTTTTTTCCACTTTCTATGTCTTCGTTTCTCATGCAACTGCAATCTCACCTCCCATTTGTTAATGTTACTGAAACTCCTCTACTGCTGTCAGCAGCTTCCTAATTGCCATAACCAATGGGCCATTTTCATGTGCCTTACATATTATTGTGAAATTATCAAGATATTTGATGCTATTGACTATTCTCTCTCATGAAAGCCTCTACTTCTTGAATTTTGGAAGTGTTCTCTCTACTGGTCCCTTTCTGTTCTAATCACTACACTACAACGTCCATTTTTACTTCTATCTCTCCTCATGAATTTTAAATGTTTTTCTAGTGTATGTAACTTAATCAATGTTAAAGGAGGTACCAAAAAATAATGGCAAGATGATAGATTTTTCAATTAATAATGTTGAAAAAACTGACTCCTAGGTAAAAACTGAAATAAAAAAGTAGAAAAAATGTGACAATATATCTATACTTCCTTGAGAAAGCAGGTACTTTGTAAGCATAAAATCAATAGCATTGATAACAAATGATGATAGAAGGACTTGAATTTCCCCATAATGAAAATTACCTATAAGAAAAAAAATCATGAACAAAATTAAAAGGCAAACGACAAATGGAAGGAAATTTGCCGCAAGTATAGCAGTATTAATAACCCTACCACATAGAGTCTATAGGTTTGTATTTAGATATGGATAAAGATATTGCTGAAGAAGATTCTAATGCATGGAAAGAAATTAGAAGTGGCAAAGAAAATAACCAAAGAATCCGCAGAATATACAAAACTGACTAACAGAAAAATAATATTCATAATTAATTTTTAAGTAAAAATTGAAAGGAAATATATATTACCCTGAAGTCTTTCCAACATTCATAGGCAGAAGACATCATTTGCTAACACAAGCATAATTCTCTAATATAGAATTTTCACAATATAACGTAATTTTTTAATAACATAACTGCTATCCTACCCCATCCTCGAAAGCAAAGTGGTTTATGCTACTTCATATATTCCCAATATATAGCACACTGCAGGGTACATAGTAGACATTCACTAAATATAGAGAGGAAGGAAAAGAGGGAGAGGGCCTCTCTCCACTCACTAGAACAATAATACCATCTAACCAGTTTCCCTGAGTTCATCCTTACCCTCTTCTCAGCACTCTACTTATTCAGCACCATACAGTTACAGGGGTGAACCTTTTAAATCTAAAGTCAGCATAGGTTACTACTCTGTGCAAAACCTTACAATGACTTCCGGTTACACTCAGTAAAATGACTTACTAGCCCCAACATAATCTGATTCCCCACAACCTCTCTGACATCATCTCCTACCAATGTCCCTCTGACTCACTTTTTTATTACCCAGCGGGTCTACCTGCTGTTTGAGAACTGTCAAACTCACTTCTGTGTCAGTCTTTATACTTTACCTGCAGATCTCTGAGCAAATTTCACTTAGAAAGTTTTTCTGACCACACAATATAAAATTGTGAAGTAATCCTTCATCACTAATATTCCTTACTCTGTACTATTTCCCCAATTAACACTTATCATCATCTGAATATTACATAATTCTTATTTGTAAAATTCATACCTTCCCTCACAAGAGACAGAAGATAAGAAAAGTTTCTAGAGGGAGAGAAGGGAGAGACTGAGGGAGAGGCATTATTCACAGGAGAAATGACTGCGAATCTTCCTAAATTGATGAAAACAAAAGTCCTCAGACTGATAAAACATGAGTCCTTTAAGGAATAGTCTAAATACAGAATGGTAATGGAATTACAGAACAACAAAGCAAAAAAAAGAAAATGTTAAAACGAGGGGAAAAAGGACAGATTACCTTTTAAATATTAAACTGATAGCATACTTTTCAATAGCATAACAGAAAGAGGAAGACAATGGAACTGTATCTTTAAAAGGTTAAGAGAAAATAATCATCAACCTCTAATTCTCTACTTAGCTATAATATCTATTAGGAGAAAGCTTGGCTCTCTCATATCCACATGGCTTCCCTTGGGTCTCTTCTCAGAAACGTCACCTTCAATATCCAATGGATATAAAATAGCAACCTCTCACCACCACTTACTCCAATCCTACTTACTCTTCTTTAAGAGTAAGCACTTATCACTATCTGACATGCTATATTCAATATATCTTGAATATGCATTTACTACTTTTCTCCTCAAACTAGAATAGAAACTAGTATAAACTAGAGATAAGACTCGGTTTTGTTCATTCCTGTATCCATAGATTTAGAACAGTGTCTGTCACAGAGAAGGCACTCAATAAATATATTTATTTGTTTATTCATTACTTAATTTGGAAGTTTCAAATACAAGTTGGGACGAACTAGACAACAATTACACATAAGGCAAGAGGGAGATGAGCTAAATTAAAGCATTCTAAGATCCTTACGTTTTTCAGAAGAAGGAAAGAGAAAATGATTAATTTTAAACTTTGGTAAGTATACCTATTAAAATTTTAATGGTAAACCCAAAATGAATGGAAATGGAAAGTATAAAGTCAAACTAGTAGAGGGAAAAAGAGACATGAAGTAATTTAATCCAAATAAGACAGACAGAAAATAAAGGCAAATGAGAAGTATAATAATGATATAGGTAGCAAAACAATGAAGATTCAACTCTAAAAATATGTTATACTAAATGTAAATATTTCAAGCTTAACAGTTAAAAGACTCCAAGACTGGATAAAAATAACAAAATCTAAATACGCACTATATGTAAAATATACAGCTAAAACATATGACACAGAAAGGGTAAAAGTGAAAGAATGGAAAACGACTGTGCTGATTATTAAGCTATTTTTTCTCAGTTTCAAATCCATCCTTCTACACTCTACTTCGGTATACTGAAACTAGAACTCTTCAAATGCATCTGGCTTCCTTATAAGCCCTGCTGATGATAGAAGGTTCTACAAAGATCATACAAAGCTGAAGGAAGAAAAAGGAACTTATTCCTTCCAGTCTACTTCTAGTTTCTGACAGTGTCAAACCAGCCATGGTTCTTCACCCTGGCAGTAGCAGTTGGTTCCAGGTTACAGTTCCCCTGCCACAGACACACTCCCCAAATCAGCCTCCTTGTGCCCTTTAGAGATACCAAGCTCTAACTAGGTATACCCTCCTCAAAGGTCTGAGTCCCAGGTCTGAGAAAACCCTTTTAAGAACTCCTAAGGTATCAAAAACAGAGTCCCAAGCTAGTAAATTTTAATGATCTCAACCTCTCCCCATTGTTCTCACAGTTCCAGGCATGGCAGCCATTTATTGTAGTTACCACCTCTTGTAATACAACAATGTTCTCTGTCTTTTCAGTGCCCCATTACTTGGTTAACGATTCTAAACACTAAATCCTCTAATTAAAAAAACTGTACATGGGCTTCCCTGGTGGCGCAGTGGTTGAGAGTCCGCCTGCCGATGCAGGGGACACGGGTTCGTGCCCCGGTCTGGGAGGATCCCACATGCCGCGGAGCGGCTGGGCCCGTGAGCTGTGGCCGCGGGGCCTGCGCGTCCGGAGCCTGTGCTCCGCAACGGGAGAGGCCATAACAGTGAAAGGCCCGCGTACCGAATTAAAAAAAAAAAAAAAAACTGTATCGTTCTGGTTCTTGATTGAGCCAACTGACACAATGATATACCAACAAATTATTAGGCAAAATAAAGCTGCCATGTTAACAAACAGGAGTATTTGAGATTCACTAATGCCAATTCTCTCCAAATTAATCTATAAATTGAATGCAATCCTCATCAAAATTTCAACACAGTTTTTCCAGAGCTTAAAAGAACAAAGAGCTGAGAATCGCTAAGATAATTTCCTAGTAGAATAAAATCAGATATCAAGATTCAGCTACAGATATTAAGCTTTTCTTATAAAAATAGTTAAGACTATAATAAATATTTAGACTACTAAAATATTGAGGTAGGGATAAAGAGAAAATCCAGTAGAAAAGAATACAGTAATATAACTAATACATGACTAATGTGGCATGTATAAATAGTAAAGAAATAAATGTGCTAGGATCAACTGATAGTTGCCTATCTTAACCTACCCACAAACTCAACTATGTAAGGACTAAAGACCTAAATGCAAAAGCAGAACTTTAGAACATTTAGAATTAAATACAGGAATACATCTTCATGACCCTGACGTACATAAATCTCTAAGAGCTACATAACTATACAGGGGGAAAAACCTTGCATTTCTCAATCCCCTTTTTTTTTTTTTTTTTTTTGCCATATGTGGGCCTCTCACTGTCGTGGCCTCTCCCGTTGCCGGACGCGCAAGCTCAGCGGCCATGGCTCACGGGCCCAGCCGCTCCGCGGCATGCGGGACCCTCCCGGACCGGGGCACGAACCCGTATCCCCCACATCGGCAGGCGGACTCCCAACCACCGCGCCACCAGGGAGGCCCTCTCAATCCCCTTTTACAGTAAGGTGGGGCCACATGAGTTAGATTCACTCAATAATACACAAGCAAAAATGGGGTAACCAACTTCTGAGCAGTCACATATCTTTTCTCTACCCCTTCCTCCTTTATGCAACTGGAAGGTTTATCCACCTTATCTTGAGGAATCATCTTGTACCATGAGGTTGAAGCTTTATACTGAAGTTGACAGAATAATAAGACAAAGGATCCTAGGTCCTTGGCCATCAAGGAGCTACCCAAACCAGCCCTAAACTGTTTATCTTTGTACTTGACTTGCATGAAAGAGAAATAAACATGTATCTTGTTTAAGCTATTTTATACTAGATTTTCTGTCATTCACAGCCAAACCTAAACCTGATAATAAAAACTGTTCTAAGCTATGTCCAAAATGTTACAATAATATAAAAGAAAGTAATCAGTTTTTGTCTAATTAGCATCAGGAAAGGCTAATGATACAGAGTTTGAATGATACAGAGTTTGCCAAAGAGAAAAACACATAAGGAGTGGCTTCTCACTACAGTCAGAAGGACTAGCAAGTAAAAATATCATGAAAGATGAAAATGAATATGACAAAACAGTCCACACATCTTTTAGGTGACGACTGGTAACAATGAAAATAACTGCTAACATTTACTGAACATTGAATATATGTACCAGATTATTTCAAATAATCCTCACAATATTGCAATAGGATAGCAATTTTATGACAGGCTTAGAATGAATAAGTAGCACTTACTTATAGGTAGGTTTCCCAAATAGCACTAGAATTGTGGCTGTGCTGGGCTTCAAACCTAAGCAGCACTACTTAACAACTATGCCAAAATGCTGGAAGGATGAGCATGTGCCTAACTATGAAGGCTCTTCAAAAATGTGCCAAACCCACAACACTGTAAATCAACTGTACTTCAATTTAAAAAATAAAATAGATTTTTAAAAAAATGTTTAAAAAAACTGTACCAATCATTATTTCTTTAAAAAACAGTAAAACACTTAATATTTATAAAGTAATTTATGGTTTCCTGATGTTTCTAATTCAATGTGCTTTTTCTCCCTAACTCTTGCCTTAACACATGCAACACATTCTCTTAAATGATAAGGGTAAGAAAAGGAAAAGGAAAATGGTGAGAGAGGGTGCTTATTTTATGCAAAAATTGAACAACTGACAATTGCAAAAGAAGAAGGGGACTTAGGATTTCCTTAAACTGCTAGTATAACACTCAAAACTATTGTTACAGTGTCTTTTCATAGTCAATGGAATAAATTATGAACTGTATACTCACCACGCTGAAATCAAGGTTGTTTTCGATCCATTTTTGCCCATCTCGGAATTCATCATGAAGTCCCATAATATAAAGGGTATCCAAAGCATCTACTATAGTAGCACCCATTTGTGAACTTCCTATATATGGGGGGAAAATGTCATTAAAAAGATGCCCTTCATACAAGGTCTATTTTAATTTTTTATATTTAAAAAGTAAATCAGGACTTCCCTGGTGGCACAGTGGTTAAGAATCCGCCTGCCAATGCAGGGGACACGGGTTCAAGCCCTGGTCCGGGAAGATTCCACATGCCGTGGAGCAACTAAGCCCATGTGCCACAACTACTGAGCCTGCACTCTAGAGTCCGTGAGCCACAACTACTGGGCCCGTGTGCCACAACTACTGACACCTGTGAGCCTAGAGCCTGTGCTCTGCAACAAGAGAAGTCACAGCAATGAGAAGCCCACACACCAAAACCAAGAGTAGCCCCCGCTCGCTGCAACTAGAGAAAGCCCGCACGCAGCAACAAAGACCCAATGTAGCCAAAAATATAAATAAATAAATAAATAAATTTTTTTTAAAGTAAATCAAAGTAGAAATATAAGAATGAAAAAAAATACTCAACATGGTTCACTTTTCCATAAGAACAGATAATATACATTGTTTAAAACATTTTCCTAAATGTTTCCTAAACATTTAAACATACATTGTTTAAAACATTTCCTGACACATTGATAACTAATAGGAAGATACAGGAAAACTAAAATTATAATTCTCCTTAATCTTCTTCCTGGTCAGAAAATGAGATATCTATCTACTTAACTGATAGATTGGGGTAAAAAAATAAAGAGGATTAATTTAAGAAATGGGGACAGTGGTTCAAGATGATAAGCTAAGTCATAAGGCAACCAGGAACCATGCTCTTTTGGTACAAATTCATAGAAAGGGCAAAAAATATACTTAAAATAATGACAAAAGTATAACAAGGCTATATAACCATGATAGAATATAAACTATAATAGTCCTTAACAATCAAAAAGCAGGTAGAACATATTTTAAAAGAAGTCATAAAACAAAATGTGAGCAGAGAAAATCAAAATAGTAAGATCTTCCCATCTTCAAGAAAGAGATCATCTTGATCTTAAAAGAAAATGTTTCAGGGAGGGAGGAACTAATTCAACAAAGCTAGCCTAACTGATACCAAAAACAGATACTGTAAACACAAGAAAATAGAACAGGCCAATCTTCCTAATGAATACAACTGCAAAAATCCTGAATAAGATACTAGCAAGACAAATCTAGTAGTGTAGTAAAAGAACAGATAACATGGAGCAGCTGGGTCCTCCCTAACCCCAGGAATTCAACTATTATTTCTACCTTCTGAGAATGAAAATCACCCACACAGCTTATTGTCTACATTAACATGACTTTACTGTTACACTGTCTTCATCAACATGAGTTTACTCTTCCAGGAAACTCTTGCTCAGAAAGAGAGAAGCTGCAAAATAAGTTATTGTTCATTCCAGGAACTTCTTGAAAGATCCATCAACTCTTTAACAGAAAGTATCAAATGATGTCTAACACTCTAAAACTCTAAACCTCTTGCCTCTAAATTCTCCACTCACCAATCTGAAACTATTATATCATGATCCTTACCCAATCATAACCAAGCCATAGTCAACCATAACTCTCCAACTGAAAGGCCCTTGTTAAACAAGACTTAAAATCTCAATATATATCTCAACTTTGTCCTTCCTCATCTGACAGGCTTACTATGGCTCTGGTGAGGTAGTGATCTCCCTTACCATGGTAAGCATTAAACTCAGCTTTGTCTTATCAACAAGTTATCTTGGTGATATTTTAGGAGTCAGCATTCGACACTACCTAGGTTCACATTTTCCATTTAGTATTCCTTCTTTTCTTACCTTTTTAATTCCATTCCTTTTTCTCCTAAATAAATAGTGTTTTCTTGTGATGGTTTAAGGCTATACAAATTTGTTCTTATAATGACTGTCCTCAACCTACATCACATTTTCTTATTCATGTGCTCCTAATAATTTCTTCAACTTATCGAGAAGTGTATCTTCCCACTAATAAAACAAGTACTACACCACACTCTGATAAATCCCTTGGTCTTCTCTCCACTCAGTTCCCTTCATGTTGATATTAACTGGGTTATTACAGACATACTTTCCCTCTTCTTTTCTTGTTCCTCAGCTTTTAATTAAGATAATAAAAATTTTATCAAGCCATTTAGTCACCCATATATCCCTATTTCTTGCATAATCATCTGAATTAAATATGTGCCTCTTTTTATTTTTGTATTTTGTCCCCAATATCATCCTTATTTTAAATCCTTAGGAGTCCCTGATTTGTTCTTATTTCAATTTTTATAGGTAGTTATGCTCAGTTCTCTAGTTATTTATTTAACTCTGTAAGTGCATGCTCCTCTAAGGTGCTGACTACTCTGAAATGGAAAAAGGCCTGACCCACATATTTATACCAATTCTAGTTGGTTCCACAAGGAGAGGTTTGTGCCACGAGCTAAACAGCACAACGAAGAAAAAGGCAAAACTGAAATTACTGGCTATCACTGTGAGTGCTTATCTAGACAACTCAAGGTTTCAACTGGAAAAAATTAAAGGGTCTAAAACTACCCTTGGGTCAAATAAGAATTAAAATATGACACAAAAGAATATATAAAGCATTAATAAAGATTTATTACGAGAACATAGGAGTCAACTGAACCAGTTCTCTGAGAAAAACTCATAACGTAAAAATTGTATACTATTTTTTTTTTTTTGCAGTACGCGGGCCTCTCACTGCCGTGGCCTCTCCCGTTGCGGAGCACAGGCTCCGGACGCGCAGGCCCAGCGGCCATGGCTCACGGGCCCAGCCGCTCCGCGGCACGTGGGATCCTCCCGGACCGGGGCACGAACCCGCGTCCCCTGCATCGGCAGGCGGACTCTCAACAACTGCGCCACCAGGGAAGCCCAAAATTGTATACTATTTAATGAGAACAAATGAAAATGTTCTACTAATAAGAAAAAGAATGATAAACTTGAGCAACGAAGTAGAAGAATCAGGAAAGCTAAAGAAATAAATGAATTAGGAATAAAGAAAACTGTCAAAATAATAAATTCAAGAGATGGTTCTATGAAAAGAACTATACAATAAATCTAGGACCAACTGATTTTTTAACAGTAGTCAATGTGAATATAAAAACACAAAAAAAGGAATTGAGAGTATATTAAAAGGCAGATACAAAGGAAATTAAGAAAACTATTTTTAAAAGACCCTAATTTAGCCATATCTTCCCAATAAATTTGAAAATGAGTGGAACTGACATTTTTCTACGAAAACAGGTATTATTTTGACTTATGAAAAAGGAAATAGAAAATCTAGATAAGCAGACCAAGAAACAGGAAATGGAGAAATTTTCAAAGAGCTACGCACTATAAAAGTATCACACTCTAGAAGTTTCATAGAATAAATTCTACTTTAATTTTAAGGATAACTTCGACATAAATTCTGATAGAGCATAGGAAAAGAAAGCTTAAAATTCAACTTAACAGATTCTGCATACCATTGATGCAAAAATATAATTTAGTAAAAAAAAATAAAACTATTATCTGATCTCACTCATGAGCATCCTGGAAATATTTAGGAATAGGCTTGCTGGGGGGTATAGTAAGTTTGTGTTTAACTTTATGAGAGACTGACAAACTGCTCTACAGAGTGTACCACTGTATACTCCCAGCAGCAATGTATGAGAGGTCTAGTTGTTCCATCATCCTTCTCAGTATTTGACATTGTTGGTCTTTTTAATTTTATTCATTCTACTGGGTATGTAGGATTTTGCATTGTGGTTTGAATTTTAATTTCCCTGGTGACTGATGTGCTTATTGGCTATTCATTTACTTTCTTTGGTGAATTACTGGTGAATTATTTATATATTCTGAATACATCCTTATACATGTATCACAAATATTTTCTCCAATTCTGGGGCTTGCTTTTTCATTTCCTTAATGTCTTCTGGAAAGCAGAAATTTTTTATTTTCATGAAGTCTAATTTAGCAATTTTTTTTCCTTAATGGTTTATTCCTTTTATATTCTAAAACCTCTTTGCTCACCTCACGGTCACAAAGATTTTTCTCAAATATTTTTTATTGGAAGTTTTATACTTTTAGTTTTTATGTTTAGATCTATGATTCATTTCATTTTTGTATACAATGTTGAAGAGTCAAGGTTTTTATTTTTCTACATGAATATATAACTGACCCAACACCACTTATTGGAAAGACTTACCTATAACCCACTGAAAGCACCCTTGTTGAAAATCAATTAAAAATGTATGTGCAGGGCTTCCCTGGTGGCGCAGTGGTTGAGAGTCCGCCTGCCGATGCAGGGGACACGGGTTCGTGCCCTGGTCCGGGAAGATCCCACATGCCGCGGAGCGGCTAGGGCCGTGAGCCATGGCCACTGAGCCTGCGCGTCCGGAGCCTGTGCTCCGCAACGGGAGAGGCCACAACAGTGAGAGGCCCGCGTACCGCGAAAAAAAAAAACTGTATGTGCAGTTCTATTTCTATTCTTTTCCAGTGATCTCTATGTCTATCTTTATGCTAAAACCATACTGTCCTCATTACTGAAGATTTACAGTAAATCTTAGAATCAAGTAGTGTAAATCCTTCAACTTTGTTCTTTTTTAAAAATTATTTTGATTATTGTACATACTTTGTGTTTTCATACAGATTTTAGAATCAGCCTATCAATTTATGTGGAAAGGTCATTTTTACTTAAATTGCTTTAAATCTAAATATGGATTTCAAGAGAACTAACATTTCAACAATACTGAGTATTCCAACTCATAAAGGCATCTCTCTCCTTTAAGTCCTTTTAAATTTCTTTCAATAATCACAGTTTTCAGTGTACAGACTTTGCACATAGTTTCATTCACCCACATATACTTCATATTTTTATGCTACTGCAAATGATATTATTTTTAAATTGTACTTACAACTGTTTATTGCTAGCATCTAGAAATATAATTTATTTTGTATATCAAACCTGTATCATATGGCCTCATTACTAAATTTGTTTTCACTCTAGTACTTTTTTACTGTTGTTTGGTTGATTCCCT